ATAAACCAAAATACGATTCCCTTTAGACTAAATCAGACAGTTTGACGAGGCAAATGAGACCAGTGTGCCACACCCATTACTATGTACCCGAATGACTTTAATTTGTTTTCAGAAAAATCTAAAATGTATACTTTAACTTTTTATTTCAAATTTTATTTAAATAATATTATAATTAAAAACTTTGTTTTACTTGTTAGTTTAAAAGCGTACCTAATATATACTTATTTATTTGTTTTCATTGAAAAAACGTGCATTGTACTCACAAAAACCGCGTTCATACTATAAAATAAACACGTTTATTACTTACAACTTACAAGGAATTTTTTGGTAGGTACAACACTTTTTTAACACTCCACATTTGTGTTCTATTTGTGAATAATTATAATTATTTTTACAATTTCAAGGAAATATGATTTTTCCATATGTTTATTGTCGTTTATATTAGAATAATAAGTCATTTTTATCTGGGTTTCTATCTAGAACTATATCTTACTATATCTATACTGATTTTTTATTTTGATCTGTTCACAATAATAATAAAATAAATTGGATAGGGACTTCTGAATTATTTTCACATTAAACATAAACCATTGTAAACGTTTGAATATGATAACATTTTATTTAACTTTTTTAGATTAGATACTTTTGAGTTCAAAATATTTCTAGGTACATATTTATATTGTTTTTCAGTAAAAATAAAAATCGTATAATCGAATTACTCGTTAGTAACTTTAACAGTGATTGAAATAAGATATTTAAATTAAGTTGTTGATCGGATACTTTTAAAAGTTAACATGTATATAATTCAAGACTCAAGTAAACAAAATTTATTGGAAAAAAACATTTTTAGCATTATCACATATTTTGTTGTTTGATGTATAATACTATAAAAAAAATAGTGTCGAAAATTCTTAGTACAATTTATTTGGATAATATTTATTAACATTTTTCAAACCTTAGTTGAAATGTAGTTTTTGGCAATTTTATCAGGGTAATATTACTTAATAGGGTACCGGTAGGTAATACAATCGACAATATGGCAAATATATGAGATAATTAGAAAATATTTAGATGTTCTCATATGTCTGGATGATATAATCAAAAACATATTATTATTTATGGAAATACTGTAGTAGAAGTTATAAGCATAGAAGGAACACAACAATAAAACAGAATGTAAATAATTAGTAGGTATTCGAGTCATTTAGAGATGGATGCATGAAAATTAGAACGATATTAAAAATAATTTGAAGAATTTATATCTGAAATATGAAAATAAGGTATAACGTAATTTTACAACATATAACGTGTATACTACGTATAATCACTTAGCGTAATCAAATGTAGTGTTTAGGATTTTTAGTATCACTATTAATTGTAATAATTATAAAAGTATAATATTCCAGAAGATAAAAGTATAATATTCCAGAAGGTAAAAAAAATTCCAGACCGAATAGGGTTATAAAAATAAAAAAACTTAAACCTTAACATATTCTAAGTGCCTATGAAATTTATGTTTGAATGTCCGCTGATGAATGATGATATTAAATATTTACTGAATAATAAAAATGTAATTGTATTTTGAAATAGAAAACAACTTGGGCCTTAAGATATACGGCTTTAATTTTGATTAGACCTATGTCATTAAAATATGAATTATATCATTGTAATTAAAAAGAACAATTTATATTTATTAATTACCTAATTATAAACATCGTTAGTTAATATTGAATTTTGTAATATTTATTCAATGATGGCTGTAGGTACATACGAGAAAACAGTGAAATAAAAATAACTACTTTAATAATTAATACAAAAATAGTGAAATCGAAAACTGTGAATAAATTACCTGATCAGTAGTCATAATGATTTGTTTCAAAACAATCACACAACTGCTATGAAAATACAATTATCGTGATACGTGGATATCAATGCAATAATAAAATAAATATTATAATAATTTCAATTCTCGAATGGTTCCATCACTGGATGATTTCATTCATCATGTGCTTCGTGTTTATTGTTACTATGTATATTTTTATGCACAGTCATCGCTTTAACTCTTAGTGTTTGCAAATGCAGATTTTAAATTTTCTTAATTAAAAAATATATATATCATAAAATTGAAGAATTTTTCATTATTTCCTTAGAAATTGCTATTACTTGTACTTATTATTGATAAATACTATCGATTTTTTATGTTTTAAAGTATTATGATTTTGCTATTTTTGTAACTTCTCTGTTTGATTCGTTATGTTCTCATGGTACTCCAATGATATGTGGAACAAACTATTATAATTTAATAATAACATTTAAAAGATCAACATGACATGGTATTTTTATGTTCCACATACGTCGTAATTAATTATAATTTATAATTGAGATTAATATATTATTATTGAATAAAAAATAAAATCGGGAGTTGAACTGTTATGGTATAATGAGTAATGACATGTGAGTGTACATTTCATAATTTATTTACCTGCTAAAATATTATGTTATTTCAAAGATTATTATTTTTACTTATTATTGTCGTTTATCTTTCTTTAATCATATGGATAAATGTCTACGGTATATTTTATTTTACGAACATTAATAGTTATTGTCCTTGGATAGTTTATAAATACTAATTGTCTGTATATAATGGATGAATATTTAGTAGTCAAAAGTGTAAGAGTTAGAATAAATATAAATTTAATTATTTAATGTATATAATGTCACGTTTTGTAATATTATTTTTTATTTATCATTATCAATATAATATTATATTATTTGTAAGTTTATGAACCTAACTTTGTGATCAAAGTCGAGATTTTGTTCCTTAGAACAATATAAATATGAGGAATAATCTAAATTTAAACTAAAAACTAATTTTAATACTTTGAATGCAACTAAACTATTTATATATTAAAAAAGATAATTGACAATGATTTGTATTAGTTCAAAGAACTGAACAATAAATTAAAATATGAACTAATAATGGATCAGAAATCATGCATGAATACTTAAATTGGTGAACAAATATGTACCATTTCTTTCATAAAACGTTTAATACGGCATAATATGAATACTTAGATAATATATTACTTCAATAGTGAAATCTTAAATGAACGTTTATTAAAATATTCAGTCATGCTCATGCATGATTTACTTATAACATAACCATTTCAATTTTAAAACTGCATATTAATTTAAAATGTTTAACACGAAACTGAGAATATGTTTTTTTATTAATTTTTAGATTCAGACCGGGGTGATAAATGTGAATTAATATTACAATATCTATTTTTTTTTTTTTTGAGCCTATATCATCACGTTTTGGGACAGAAAAAATGCTTCGATATTCACTTTTGAGGGTGGTTTCTGGTAGTGAATTTTAATCTAGTCGGCTAGTTTAAGACTTCGACGGGAAGGGAAAACACGAGAAGAAAACTTCCAGTACCTACCTACTAATAAAAAATTAGGAAACACTCAACACATAAACGTGACCTAGTAAATATCTCTTACTCAAAGACGAGGTACACTTGACAATACTAATTCCTATGTACTTACACTGGATTGATTTCCCTTGTTTTAAAAAAAAAACTAAATGTTAGATAAATTAAACGTTTAAAGATAGTTTTTTCGCTTTTCTTTTAAATTGTTTTAGGGTTTTAGGTTTAAATTATGAATTATGTGTCATACAGTCCACGGTGCTACTAATACTTTATAGCCACACCGATTATTGTAAAATACAACCCCCAAAACCTGTGCACACAGCTAGTTGAAGATACTATGGAAGGTTCTATTGTTGTAGAGATAAGAAAACAAATGGTTCTGTTCCTACGATTCATTGTAACCCATGTAGGTATGTGTGAGCACGAGAATATACAACTTGATGAGTGGTATAATAGGTGATTCGACCAGATCTTTTATTTTTTTGTACTGCGACCCCCTTCAAAAAAAAAATTTATTGTTATATTCATCAAAATTTGGTTTAATTACTGATAAAATATTTATATGGTATACAATTTTGATTAACTTACATTTGCAAATTTTATAAATATATAATACAACATTATTTTAAAACAATACAAGCATACATTACATTTAAATTAAAAAAACACATAAATACAACTATAAAAATGTACAATTTACCTTGTTATTCAAGTGTTAATGGGATACTTGAGCTTGAAATTTTGATATTATAGATTCCATATTAGGTTTTATATTAGAGACTGATATTTGGCGACCCCCAAGGCCCCAAACCTATCATTTCCCAGGTTGAAAACCATTGTGTTAAACGGTCGGTAAAACCGCGTACGTCCAAGATTAATGATTATTATCGGTATAAATGACACACACACACACACACACACACACATATAATTATTATGTGTGAGTGAGTAGGTAGGTACCTAAAATAACGTCGAATGACTTATAAGATAATCCAAATAATTATCTAACAGTGTTGCCAACGAAAGTCGAATAATACATTAAGACATTCCGCCTCGGCCGAATAGGTTACACATATTTTAGTCTCGAGGTATTCGACGCACGTACCCATTATAATAATAATATTATTATTGTGTTATTGAAACATAAAAATATAATTACACGCACAGGGTTTCGGCCGTTTAGGGTCACCGTCGGCCAAACAATAACACAAAGTTTTACATCCATTTTATGGCGATGAACATTTTTCTGTTTATACTTTTATAGACGCACAAAGCACAACACACATGTGTACTGTAGACTGCATTATTATTATACATTATACAATGGCTAGTCACGCGAATAAGCGACCTGCAACGGCTGCAGACGACCTTATCCGAAAATGTAATCACGCGTTTGGTCATTTATCCGATCGTCGGATACACGAATTATTATTATAACATAATATACCTACGCGTGACATTACGCACACGGTGCCCACCCAATTTCATATCGTGCTAAAATGTACAATGGTCGTAATTCAAACACAACTAATGAAGCCTTATTATATATTTATTGTTAATCAGGTCGAACGCGTTTCCGGAGACAACAATTACCTGCCTCTTCGAAACTCTCCATCCAGGGATTTGGATCGCTTCATCGGTAAGACTTTTGTATTTCTCGTTCACGCCTCACTCATCATATTATGTGCACACCCGCATTATATTACTGTTACCTATATATGTTTAGCACACAAACCTACTTGTACGCATGTCTGAAACACTGTTATTACACTATTTTCCACACATCGCAGCCCCTGTATCGTGTTAATAATATTTTGATCCTCCTTTATGCAATACTATTATTGTATCGTGTTATTATTATGTTGTTGATCCGAACAATTATTTAACATGGCTGCGCACGATTTGCATGTCCCGCTAAATAACGCACACTAAAATGTACGAGACCTAAAATATTAGTAGGCACACACGTGCCTGTTTAAATATTAATAACAATAATAAGTGTGTAGGTACCGATGCGTTTATTGTATCGCTAAAGCGTTGTCCTACATATATATATTATATATATTATACTTATATAGGTAACGTTTGTACGTAATTTCTACCTGTGTAATGGATGTAATACTATTATTATTATTATTATTTGGTCTAGAGCCTACGCCGACGACGATGTAACACGCCTAACAAACGCCGATCCGACCTAGCCGTAAATTATTTCATATATATATATTATGTATACGGTATACCTATGTATGATTTACTTCCGGTTTCTCTAGTCCCGACGAATCGCATCGGGCCCGGTTTAGTATAATATACTAATTTATATTCTCTTTGTGCGGTTTGCTCACCGCCTTTAAATACAAGAACACGCTTCTTGTCAGCAACGATTTGATATGTGTGTGTGTGTGTGTGTGTGTGTGCTTTAATGATACTGTACACGATAGTATTACACTATATTAGATGGATTGTCATATGGTATATATACATTATACATGCTCGATTAATCACACACATACACACACGGTGTGCCGAAACTATGAGTGTACTAACGCCCCGATCTGAATCTAACTATTTAAGCCCCTCCCCACAACTCACAAGTTACATGACATTATATATTTAAACAGCTATAGTTGTAACTTGTAACTATAAGTTCTGTTTTATTTTTAAAAAATGTATTATCAGTTCACATATTTTGTTATCTTGCAAGTTCTATTTTCATATTATACCTACACTCGTGTGTTCAGCAACATGTGAATCGTGAACTTGGTTTTTCCTCGATCCGAAGATAAAAAAAATTCGCCAAGAATCAGTGGCCATTCGTACTCCTCGGCGTTTCACCAATTTTAGTAGGTACCTATCATAGACATCAAAAGAGATTTGGTTAGGTAAACTTTAGCAGAAAAAATATACTATAAACTCTTGTTGCTGACACAGACTGTAATTTATGTCTTAAAAATCAAAACGATAAATGTGTTTACATTTTTTTTTCTAATAATAGTGTGAGAATATTACAATAGTTATAATTATATATTGGTAATGTACATTGTTGGACGGTGTACTGAGTGTGGGGGCCATGTGATCGTTTCATTATTTTAGCACCCCTTAATGAACTTACTAACTATACAGTTGCGCCACACACACACACACACACAAAACCAATTTTGTATACTCTTTTCCACCGTCATCTTGACAATTTGACTTATGAAATCTCCTATGCTGTGCATATTTTCGGATGGTTTTGAACACGCTCCCAGTAATTTGCACTCTGCAGTCTGCAATAACCGTAATCGTATTACAAGCACAGGTACCTAATATAATCCATAATAATAATATAATATAATGATATTACATCCATTACCGTTTATCGCACGTTGACGATATAGGCGCAATGAGACGGTATAGACATTATTACATATATCGCACGATATTATGTAGGTGGTTGTACCTAATATTTTAAATCAATTACCATCGTTTTTTGTAGATCTAATTTGCATACTATACGAAACGAACTACTGACAAATCGTTAGGTAGATACGCCAATATTCATACGATTTAAAAATTTGCTATTTCTTAATGTTTTTTAATTTGCATTCTTATTACATTATTGTGACTTATAATTCAACATCGCACGTTGTTGTTTTCACACTCAACACAATATAATTATCCGTCGTGAAACATTCGATTCGACCACCGAGGCGCCGATCCCCCGCGGGGTAAGTTCGCTGTTTGATTTATGCACAGAACTCGGTAAGTGAAGTGCTGTAAGAGCTGATCACCTCCCATGGCGTGACAGCCGACTTCCTTAGTCCACGTCTGCGTAATATACGATACAGTTTAGTTATCGCGTTACCCTGCAGGGCATTACGCAGGACTCGTGATACTCTATATGGTCATTCAAACTGCGTGTATTACAATCAAAGAATAAATGCAAGAACAAAACTCAAAAATATGTTATTGAATCATTTTTTTCGAGAGTGAGTGGGAGTGAGAACCTGAGAGAGAAAAAGATGACGAGTTTAACTTAAAAATACGAAGTTTATATTTCGAGAAACGAATTTGACGTCGTTCGTTCGCCGTGAATAAATTAAACAAAACAATACCTACTCCGATAATGTTTAGATATTGATTATTGTAATGTAGAAAATTGATCATATTAATTTAGGTACCTATATTTATTTATATACTGTTTATAGGTCTAATATAATTGTTAGAAATTTAACATTATATTAAAATTCTGCAGTCATGCATAATGAATAAAATATTATATATATAGGCTCCAAAAAAGTATGGCAAACAACTAAAAAAAAATGTCACACATTAATTTTTAATAGGTGCCTCTTATGACTGTCAGTACAATAGTGATTGTCATTACTAGGAACTAAGGTTTGGGAGTTATCTCACTGATCAATCTTAACGTCAGAGACAAGCCCTCAATTAGTGTTATAGGAAAATAATTAATGTCGTGTAAATCATTTATAGTTTGGTTATTCGTGTAGTTCAGATTTACATCGCTAAGAAGCATAGGTATGGGCAACACACCCATGATAAGTGAGACGAAATCGCGTCTTGTAGGCATTTGTCAATGTCACAAACCTTTGGACAGGAATTTACAAAAAAAAAAAATGAAAGAAAAACCCCGTTAAAACTATCCCTAGACCCCCCCCCCCTTTAGCGCCCTCGTAATACCCACGCACCACAATCCCACCGACTTAATGACCACCCACGAGGGTCGCGTAGACATGTCACATATGGTTGAAGTGCACGTGGCTATACACCGTGTCACTACATTGGTTTTGCAGACACGTTTTGCGACGACGGCAACCAATGCAATCTACCAAGTGGTATGATGGCCGCCGTGGTGCGGCGTAGCCTGGACCGGTTGAACGGTGGCCACACTATGGTGGCCAAACGGAGTAGTCTGGACCGGTTGAATGGAGGCCACGTAATGGTTGCCAGACGTAGCAGCCTTGACCGGTTGGTCGGCGGCCAACTGACGGTGGCCAAACGTAGCAGCCTAGACCGGTTGAACGGCGGCCACGTTATGGTGGCCAAACGTAGCCTGGACAGGTTGAACGGCGGCCACGTCATGGAGGCCAAACGTAGCCTGGACAGGTTGAACGGCGGCCACGTCATGGTGGCCAAACGTAGTCTGGACCGGTTGAACGGCGGTCACGTCATGGTGGCAAAAAGTAGCAGCCTGGACCGGTTGAACGGCGGACACGTCATGGTGGCCAAGCGCAGCCAACCGGACCGGTTCAACGATGGCCTCACCATGGGCACAGGAGGTCCGTCATCTTCCCTTGGACAGTTGCAGTCGGTTGATCAACAACTGCAACAGCAGCCCAACAAGTATCCTCAAACACTAACCTGGTGGCCCGAAACCGAAGGACAATCATTTAACAACGACAACGACTACTACTCGAAAGACGGCGACGACTACTACATGAGAGATTACGATGGTGATGTTTGTCTGGGCTGTGGTTCGTCGGCCAAGGCCTCGTCCTTTTAATTGCTGTTATCCTCTATCGTCTTCGCCGTCCTCGCATACACAAGATTAAATAATATTTTTTACAGGGTATTGCACCCGAATTAACCCAATCTTTTATACACGGAAAAACCGTTAAAAAATAAAAACCATCACTCTGATGGCTAGATCACCTAGTTAACTTAATAATTTTTTTTTCCAAAATTCCAAAAATTAACCCGAATAAGAAATCTGGAATGTTATTAGATCTGCAATTGGTTTATTTCACAAATTTGATTAAGTAATACATTTAAAAATAAATAGTAATTAAATAGTAAGTTGTATTCTAGATGTATTCATCCAGCACCCGAAAACAGAATAATTGATTCGGGTGCAACACCCTAATATATAATATCATATAAGAGATATACTGTATACACTGTATAGGTATACCAAAATAAACTAACCTACATTGTTATGGGCACGACGCGCGACGATGGCAAAAATATAATATTATTATGTGATAGAAATTGAGGTATTAAAATATATTATACTATTACAGTGATTGAATACTGCAAAAAATAATTGAAAAATCCACGTGTTTATTTATTTCTATAACCATAAATATAATTTTTTTTTAAGAGGCCACCGGAAAAATCATTCATATCTGTTCGTCTTTTCGAGTATTAATATAGATTATTATATTTTTATTTATTTTTGAGAGTTTTTGTGTACACTATTTGCGTGGTTCTCCGCCACGACGTTTTAACAGTGATAGCACGTAATATCTCCTTTATATCGAGGACTATTCAAAAAAGATTAAAAAACTATCTCCGTGTAGATGCAAACAAATCGACGGTTTTATTAAACTATAAATTTCCATCATAATATTGTAAATCTTAGATCTCGTGTATAAATTGCGTAGTCGTGAAATAATGATTATACATCGAATCGAATCTATATCCAAAAAAATAATATTTGAATTGGTTAAGGGTTTAGTAAAACACACTTGAAAAAAAAATTATTTGAATACTTTAATATCTACTGTACCTATAAATAAATTATTATATATAAATAATATATAATTAAATGAATAGAAAAATATTTTAAATAAACTTTTACGAAGAATACGTTTATTCTTGTTTTTATTTGTATTGTTTTACAGTACCTAGTTTTTTTTTGTTTTTATTATTTATATGGGTCCGATAATATTATTCTGAACAAAACAAGTAGGTACTTCAGTCTTCAAGTTCAAGAGTGGTTTCTGGTGGAAAATTGATCTAGCTAGGTGTTACTTTGAGGATCAAAAGAAAAATATTATGTTGATAAAATTCTCGTCACCAAGTCAAAAAGCTCCAAAGTGTGGTACAAAAATCTTCATAAGTTTTCTCCATAGCTAGTGATTTAAAAAAATTGAAAATACACACGAAGCATTATCGGTGTTGAAAGGTTATCAAAATTTGTTTATTTTGCTGAAATTATAAAAATACTAACCATAAAATCTTAAAAAGATCTGTTATAACCATGTTACACAATGACATTTTTTAAATATTTAGACTAATCTATTATAACCTCGGGAATCCATTATAGCTTTTTATAGTGTGATAAAAAGCTAATATACAGTAAACACCGTATTACTAATATAAATATATTGTATATTAAAGAAGCTTACACATCGTTTCAGCGAACAAAATAGTTTTTCTTACACAATGATTTATCATTGAATTCAAATTTAACACATCCATCACAATTTACAGTGACTTGCAACTCAATGACAAGATACACTCGAAACAGCTTAGCGAATTTTTTCATAGGTATATAGTATGCTTCAACACTACAAATAATTAATCCAGTGAAGGATTTTCAACACTTTTCTGGGGGATGAGAGGGGTTCTGAAAAATAATATGTATTTTAAAGGTATTCATTTTATTTTTATTAAAAACAAGTATTTGATATATTTTTTTAAAATATATATATATATCGGTGCCTGAGTGTAAAATATCCACCCCACCATCCTCCCCCCTCAGAAAAATGACGAAAATCCTGCACTGGATTAATTATTGATAGTGTCAAAGCATAAAAATACTTATGAAAAAAAGCAGCTGGAAACTCGCTTGGCTGTTTCGAGTGTACTCCCAACTACTCTGCCATTGAGTTGGAAGGTCCTCCCCCTCCCCGTCCCGTTAACCCTCCATTATATTAATCCTATAAATGGTTTCACTTTTAAAATTAAAGTCAGGTAGCGGATAGGTATCAAGTTTATTATGAATAATAACAATTATAAAAAAAGCTACTCAGACTAATATTATTTTTTAAAAGTAGGCTATATAAAAGATACTAAGTAGCACCTGAAAATATTTAAAAATATATAATGCGTAATACATTTAAATTCTCAAATATTCAAAAATACATTTCAACCAACCTTTATATGAAGTAACAATAATAATTAATATGAACTCAGTAAATGAACTTTACAGCCCTGCTAATAACACAAATACTTCATTAAAAGCCATATTGTCAATTACTTATTTAATATAATATATTATTAATTCCAATATCTACTGACTATCTTTCTACAGCCATCTAGCTAGGTACATAAAAATGACAGCATATTTTTCTGGTGGCCTTAAGATCCTAACACGTTCAAGTATTCAACTATATAATATTTATTAGGTCAAATCACTCGTATCTTATATTATTACGTCGAATGTTCAACAAAAATATTGGTGTTTTTAGGGATACAATAAACACGACGTTCGTCCCGAAATAAAATATTTATTACGAATTTTTCCAATTGGAAATTCACGAAAGGTCTTTTTTTTGTTATAGTTTTACGAACTCAATCGATCATCAATTTTAGACGTTTGCGATGATTCGAAATTATTATTATAACGATATAAAAATATAATCATAATAAAATGTTCCAGAACCCATACAAAATCCAATTGTCACACTCTCATATAATATTCAGTATTGTGCACCTATACTACATAATATATATCATACACAGCGGGACGTGATAATAGTTTAAACTTTCAAGAGGGACAAAGTTCAGTGATCGTGGCAAAACGGTAACAATATTATTGTTATTGTTTTTAGCTCCAAAGCCATGGCGGGTTATACTGCTAATAATAACTCCAATCATTTCTATCACGTCAGAATGTCGTTCGGTCTGTTTCAAAAATATGAAGTTCTCTCGCTTTAATTATTATTGTACTAATGACGGTAAAAAATTTATAGACGGGCAGCGAGTCCCTTTTTTAGGAAAAAAAAATAAAGGGTAGAAAAGTTTCCACGATGAAAGCCAAACTCTGTTTTAACGTCTCGGAGGTCGACTGGAGTGACGTCGAGTGCAAAATAATACAGCAAGCGGTGGTTTGGCGCATTCCGCGTAAGGATAGGGAGGAGCCGGGGAGGTGCAAAAAAGTTCTCATCCCCGTTCACAATGTAGTCTTGACACCTGATGAATTAGTAAATAGATGGGTTGATGGAAAATGAAAAAGTTTCTTTCCAAATATAATATAATATTATTATTATTAAATACTAATCTAATTTTACCCATTATAATAGGTACCTGAAACTGTAACGTCGTTTTACGTGTGCCACGTAATAATTAGTGACGTAAATATTTAATGTGTGTCAAGCCAATAGAATTGCAGGGACAATTGTGTGTCTTATGTATACAAGTAAATAATTAGTGTACAAGCGACTGTTGGTATGCCGTGGGATTTAAATATTAATTATTTTGGTCTTTGGAGGAAAAAGGAGGTGTTAGTGAGAGACTAAAATATCAATAAACTATATGAAGGGATCGTATAATAATATCAATTTCGTCGATTTTGTATTGGCTTTACTGTTCGTAGTTCATAAGTTAACCATTATAGGTAGATATAGATACTTATCGATTTCGCCGAGCTTTATGTAAATATTTGAGTATTGGAAATTAAAATGTTTGTAGTTGGTTCGTTGTATAACGCAGAGTAGGTACTTAATAATAACCTATATCGCCAATGACCATAGTTGCCGAGGCTTATTTTAAATAAAAAAAAATAATAACCTATATCATGTAAGTCATTATTTTTTTAAAACAAATTACACTAATTATATTCTGCACACAACTCACATAAATCATCACATGATAGCCACATATACATATATAATAGCTATTTTAATTAAACTAAACATTATGTTTACACACAATAATATTATACATTAATACATTTAACAATATGAATCGTGTCATCAATTAATTATTTATAATTATTGTTTATAACAATTCAGTAAAACATATCCAAGACGTATATAAATTTGTCATTTTTATAAACTTGAGGCTCGGTGGAAACGATACCTACGAAAACACGGTGTTTCGACAACCCTCAATAATAAGATATTATATTATATATTGTATATAAGAATATCGATAGTAATTGATCACAACTGTCAATTCAGATACCTTCTCACACGACATAATTGATAATATATAGTAGACTGTAGTACTAGCGACCTACTATATAAACAAATCAAAAGTTTAATGGAGATGACGTGCTCTCGATGACCCCCCTCCTCAAACCCCCTAGGTCACTGCACTAATATAATAAATTCGTAACATAATGTCGATGCAGCAGTTGCGATTCGCGGTATATATGTGGTAAGTAAGGTACGTATTGTAATTAATGATAATATTTTATAATTAAACACGTAATGCACTTTAGTCGCAATGCACATCGCTATAAGTATGTATTTGCACGAGACTTAAAGACTGTCGATGCAGCACGAGAAGCATTCCAGTTCCCGGTCATCAGGCATTTAGGTTTGATGTACCACACTGCACGTCGAATAACTACACTTGATAATACTGTAAAAATAAAGTGTGAGACCGAACGTATTGTGGAGACGATGACCGCGACGACCAAGTGCTGCTGGTTTCTCGGATTCGTCATTTGGCCAGCATGCAAAAGGTCTCGCAGCGAATCCGACGGACAAGTAAACACTATAACAATATTTATTACTGATGCATGTCATAATAATACAATATATCATAATAATATCAAATATATAGTTACTGTCGTTATTAAAATTTGGCGCACGTTCACTCCTCGTCATGTGTGTTTAGGACGACGGAAATTTGATTTGGCAGTAAACATAGTGATCCCTGCCCCGAACGACCCCCCCGCATCACATTATATACGATATAATATTATTATTAATTATTAAAAGTACACAAAACCTGCACGTATATATTATTATCGTACCTCCCTATACATACATTATTATTGTCGTCGACATTTTTTCCGAGTCGACGACGTAAGTATTGAATCTATAGGAATTTTAATCGATTTTATCATTATTCCATTGCGAATAGTTTCTCGTATATTATATATTGTGCGTGTCTCAGTGTCTGCTCCATTATATTTCCTCCGAATAGTGTTCGCACTGGTTCGCCGTCATTCAATTTAGTATAATATATTATAAATGTATACAGCCTACCTATATACAGGGTGTAACAGAAAGAACTGACTATAATGCAATAAGTTTTGTTTTTTAACAAATACATAATTTTTTTTTATGCATAATTTATGATCACTCGCGTTACTTATATGTATAATATAAAAAAAAAAATATTTTTATTTTTTAATACTGAATATAAAAAATTTTAAATTTAACTAGGTTCAAAATAGCCAATTCGTGAATCTGATTATAAGAACAGTTTTGATGGTAAAAACATTTATCTAAGTCGAGCAGTTTATTTTTTAGAATTCTTTTAAATATCAATATTTCTTTGATTAAATTCATTTGGAATACGTAATACATTTTTTAAAAATATCATTTTAGGAAATTGCTGATATGAGTATATTTCTTAAATTATTTACTACTCATATAATGTTAGTAAATAATTTTGTCCTACATTAAGGTAGCATCATTTTTTTTTTTTTTTTTTGTCAGGTCTATCTGTTACACCTTGTATATACAACGTGCATTTATACTATAGTACCTATATATTACACCCGAAACGAATAGGTCGGTGGTTTTATTTTAATCCTCAATGATTAGCACACAGAGAGGCTGAAATATAACAAGCTCTTGCGTTCACCGCCATTCCATTAGACAAATATAATGGCTGTACTGCAGTAGTGGTGAAGGTGTAATTAATATTATTACACTTTATTGTACCGCCTTCACACAGATACCTAGCTGGAAATCAGTCGGATAAATGCTTTCCCGTCGAATCGTCATTTTATTTACCTACATTTTTCACACTACTATACTTACACCAGAGTATGAGGTCTATGATTATATCAAAATAATTTATGTACAAGAGCCATAAGCCATTTATAATATGGTAGCACGTATAGCTATATGATAACATATTTCATCGAAATATATGATCAAATAATTTATATTTGTAGTAATACTAATTTTAAAACTATATACAGTCGTTCTTGCTAAGTGTTTTCAAGAGAAAATAATAAATGTTATGTACCTAAGTACATTAAAATATTTTAGTGATTATTTCTTTTACAAAAAAAAATATATGTACAACTTGGCGTTAGTATTATAATTCAGCCGAGTGCCGTTTATAACGTCACATACTATATTCATAGTAATTATAAATATCACTTATTAGGTATATATCTGACTAAAGTGCTCAATTAGAGTTTAACATTTTGGTTTTGTTTTTTTTTTGATACCACATTATAGATTTTCATGCAGTAAACTTAAATCCAATTTGTCAAGTGTTCTTTTGAGTTATGAGTTATTTCAACAAACCATAAATAATGCACATGGACATTTGTACAAATTTTATGTATAAAAAAAAAACTTTCAGGTGAAATACTGTTAATAAATTGTTTGGTTTTATTAAGTTTAAACCTGACTATTATGAATCGTAAAAATAACTCTTATAAATGTAAAATATAAAAACAAAATTTGATATTAATGTGTTTTTAAGCAAATGGACAGCATATAAATTCTGAATGAATAAATGTGACTTAATGACTTTTTTAGGGGGAATCGAGTGCAAAATAATGAATTTTTAATTCATAATTAAAAGATACCTTCATACCTTTATAATTTATTTGAATTTTGTTGCTTTAATATGATTTTAATGTTCAAAAGAAATTGGTCTTACATACCTATAATATGCATATATTTTAATAAAACTATATTATATTTTTCTCGACATTTTATGAACAATTTTTTTCTTTCAACTTATTCGAAGCTGTACCTTATACATTTTAAAACCATAATGTACAAATTATAAGTCTTTAAGAGCATTTTAAAGTTATTTATGAATTAGTAATATTTTGTTTGAATTTTCACTTGAAGACGATTATAATTTTGTATTTTTACGTCATAACAGATGATTTGAATAACAATTAGGATCGTTAGATTATAGGTAATAACAATTTATTAATTTGAGATTTCCAATTAAAATCTGCGGTTCCAAAATTAAAATAGAATATTTTCTTTGACCCTTATTTCATATAAGTAAACATCATTATTTATTCATTATTTCATTATTATTCATCGTTATTTAACAGTAATGAACCAAAAGTATAGCTTCATAAAAATTGTAACATATCACTTAACTATGTATAAAAACAATTGTAAAATGTAGATGATAATGATAATGTTGGATATTATATGATCAGTGATGACCCATGAAATGATGGCCTGCCATAGTATTGTTATATATTAGGTATGCATGTATTATTGTGCTATATATATTTGTATTAAAAGTTACAGACAAATTCGTCGTTATTAAAACATTTAAGAGATTTCTGACCTACGTGTAACTTAGACAATTCGTTGAACCAATCCTGTGTTATTAGCTTTATTATTAGAGCCAATTGACCTACTATCAAACTAGAGGTACGTACATAATGTAGGACACCTCATAGGTTCCTATTCATATTTTAATTCTAAAGTGTTACTGGGTAACATATTTCAATTTGCAAACGTTCATACCTAGCTATAAAATTAAAATATCAATAATAGCCTTCGAGGTGCCCTGGATAATGTTCTCATCTTTAAGGTTGACGATAAGTCAATTATTGACTTTACTGTTACAGCTAACAACGCAAATTACATTACTACATTTTGCATCCCTTTCGAGTAACCGATTATTCGTGGTAGAAAAAATTATAAACATTTTACAAAGCGCTTGTTGATCTATTTATTCGTCGATGCCAATATTATTAGTTCTGTAATTTGAACGTATTGAAGCGATTCAAATGTGACTTGGTTAATTCATTTTAATATGAGAATATTGATGTTTACCGACAATCTTCAGTTAAATAATGATGAAAACAAATTTTTATTTTGCATATTATTTGCAGTATGGTATTAAATTCGCCGGAACCCCCGAAGTTAAGTCAAAACCACAACTGTGTATACTTCTAACCGATACTACTTTAGTTTAAATGCATTATTTATGTTTTATAGGTATGCTTAATGTTTACATAACAGCAATTCACCTCATTTATACGTGCCACTTATGTCAAAAAAACAACAATAAGACTGTTTAGCATTTTTAACCTGATGCCTTTATATCGGTATCTATCTCTGTCAATCTCATTCTTCCATTTTCGTCAGTCCCGCCAACCATAACACGCTGTTTTGTAATAATGTATTATATTATTATATCCTCTTTGCTCTTAATTTGTTATTTTGTTTGTGCATCGCATTACGCTACGGATTCAAATTTCAGTCGTCCATACTACTCTTGAGTATTTAAGGAGATCGTCACGCTCTATATTTTTCCCTGTATAATATGTAGAAATACGAATATAATTATGTACATATAGGAACTGTGAACGTCAAAAAAATAGCTTATATTCCTGTGGGATGTATAGTCGTCACGCAGATGCATTGGAAACGGCCAAGATGTATCTTGGCATTATCATTTTATTATATTGATTCATTGATTTTGATTATTTGTTTTTTTATCAATTCCAGAAGGAGAAAATCTCCTCAGAGACTTGGAGATATTGAGAGACCGCGCTGAGTACTTCGCTAGGCAAAACCGTCATATTAATTCATTGGACGGCGTGGGTTTCGGGCAAAGCAAACGATTTGACACCCTCAGGTAATGTATTCTACAATTAATAAAATTATAAATACTTGATGCCCCTCGAAACGCCCCCCGAGAAAAATGTGACTTTTTTAAACTTGAATCACCTTCGAGTGTTTTTGGGGACAATTTGAGTATACACAAACGGCCTTCTCAAATTACCTCCCTATTATAGTATACCTATAAATATTGTTATTTACAAGCCTTGATAATTAACCACGATGATATCTGAAATCAAAATACTGATAATAATAACATTATTATACTTTTTCTTATTGAAACATGCAGTCCACAATCATTGTACACACAATGTTATTGTACCTTTTTTATTTTTTATTTTGTGTAATGGACTGCAACTATCATATTCGCATTTATTTAATAACTAGGGATTAAAAAGACGAAAAACTTCCGGAAAATTTTTTTTTTTTTTGCAAAGCCCTAAAAATATGAAAAATTAAAGAACTTTAAAACAATACATTTCTGAAAAACGTTCAAGTAACATTTTCACAACGCGAACTCCCTGTTCAGCAACACGTTATTCAGTTTGGTTCAGGTGTAAGACTATCTCACGCAAACAATAGCTTATAGATTTTTCAGAATAGAATTTTTTTTTAAATAAGTACAGAGTTTGCGTTTAGGCACAAATTTAGGAACACAGTTTATTACGATAATTTCGTTTTATAAATATTTTATGTATACATATAATAATATAGAATCTGTTATTCGCCGTCAACAACTATAATATTATTTATACGTATTTTTACATATTGATACGCGAGTACTGAGTTTATTTAACATATTATATTCAATATATATGTTTGCGTTTCTTAGATACAACATCTGAATCATACATTATTATACTATCCTACAAAGATGTTTGATCATTATAATAATATTATTTGTTTAAATAGCCAACGACCAATCCGGTTGTGGATATTGTGTTGTTTTGTTTACAGACAGTAATATTCCTCAGCGTTTTGTTACAAAAACACGATAACGACAATATGTTCTAAACTGTTACCAAGTTTTTTCTTAGAACATTTCGCATTTATTTTTTTCACGCGACCGGTGCTTATCCCGATTGGTTTTCGACTACAATATAGCAATGTGGTTTTTATATTGGCATCAGACGACAATGGTTTTTCTTGTGTTTACGCTCTCCTGACGTGCGTTTGTATACACTCCAAGTATTAAACATGATTAGATTAATGGTATCAGGGGTGACTTCGGATTTGTATCTCAGAGGTTTTCGAGATTTAAGGGAGAAGGAGCATTGGTAAAAATATCCGCTTTACATTGTGTGTACTATTGTTTTCAGTGGCGTATCTTTCGGCGGTCAAAAAAGGAACTTTGACGAAATCGACCGCAGCGGGTTCGACCGGTTCGTCAAAAAGAACTTTGACGAGATCGACCGCAGTGGTTTCGACCGATTCGTCAAGAAGAACTTCGACGAAATCGATCGCAGTGCTTTCAGTAGCTTCGTGAAACGCCCCAACAAGGTGCCAGCGGCCAATTCGGAATAGGCGCCAACTGCGCACGCGCATACACACACGCACACCCAAACACACATACATACGTCATAATAATAACAATAACAATTATAGTTTATCATATTATACCCACCAAAACTCTTATAGATCCACATTGCCGGCATAGTTATAGTTTAATAAGTATTTTATAGGAATAAAAGGTAAACGCATATTGTCATTACTAGGTTATACAACATGTAAACCACGGCATAGAATTACTTTAGTAAAAATAATAATAATAATAATTAATAATATGACAATATATCACAATAATAATAAGTCATGATGTATAATAACGACGATCATCTAAAGTCCACATTCACCTCATCTGTTTTGTTGTTTGGACAAATGTGCGCGTGCCATTTTACCGGTATATACCCCACCTTATATACCTTAAACCTATAAATATGTACTGTAGAAAAGGAATTGAATCCGATAGTAAACATTATAAAGAGTAAATTTTATTATAATTTTTGACGTGGTTGTGTATTAGTCGTCGAATAAAAAAAAAATATTTTAATTAATATAAATTTAACTAAACAATACATTATATTACATTTTTCTGTTTTTTTTTTTCATAGATCTGATTGTGAATCTCATCAAATATATAGTCATTATTATAAATTTATAACACATAATATAATACGTACACATAGATGCATATGTATGTTACCGTTAATTTATAATTACATATTACTTTATAATAATAATTCTATGTACTTTGAATCTCTGAAAATGTATTAAATTTTATTAGTTCATAAAACACTACAAATGTGTTTTCAATTAGTTATTCAATATTAATTACCTTTTCTACAAGCATCACGCTGTTTGTTCGATCATTATATGGTCCATTATACTATGGTATTACCATTAAATGGTATAATCGATATCGGTACAATACAATAAGTTCACGGTACAAGTACTCGTGCATCAGTGAATAGTCCACGCGACTAACTACTGTTCATATCTCTTGAACAGATTTTCATCACAAAACTTTCGCCTTCTCAGCTGTATTGCTGTGTTGACATTTTGTAGTTCTTGAACATAATATACGCACGTAAGTATAATATTATACGCATGAACAAAAATGAAACGCCTACCCAACTTTATCGACATGGAAAATACCTCAATGAATCGACACAAAATTAAAAACATTTCAGGACACTAATAATACGATTATGGTTTTTAAATACAGGTAACCTATAAAAAAATCTCCCAACATTTATTAAATGTTTTAGATTTATTTGAATTTAGTATTAAAATTCATGGAACACCTCTAGTTATAATAGTTCAGTTAGTTATAACTATAGAGCTAGGATTTTGGAGACTTATGCATTTTTTGCAAAGTTCTAACCAACAACTAAATTTGTTTCGTGATAAAGCAATTTAGAATGTGTAATTTTTATTTTGCATTTTTTTTGTTAAATGCATTTTATTGCATTTTTAAGCTCATTTTTACAAATATTATGTTCATTTTGACATTTTGTGTATTTAAACAATTTTGGTTTATTTTAATTTTTTTTGAATATGTGTTGTATAGGTAATTTCAATTAGCACCTACAGGCTACAGTACCTGTATACAAATAGTATTTTTGAACTTATATCGACAACATACCATAATGGCATAATAGCATCGCTATTATACCCGTTTTCGATAAGACTATAATCACCTGTCAGCGAATCGGGATGATTGAAAATTGAAAATAATAATATAAAAATATTTTAAAACTGGTATATTTGTGGGCAAACTGAGTTGTCGGTGAATTGGGATTCGGAAAAGTGGATGTGAATCGAAAAAGTACCTAATATAATTAATTGCAATTATAAAGTTTATAAACTCACAAGTCAACCTCAAATTTGATTATATTTATTTAATTTACTTCTTAAAACAAATTTTTACTTTTTTTTGTGTACTATAAAAAATGAATGAATAATAATTGATAGTTAATAATAATATTTATTTTAAAATTAAATTATTTTTCGCTCATTTAAGTACATTTTTTGTTCACTTTTTTGAGTGCATTTTTGTGTAGTTTTTAGGTCATTAACATCCTAGCTTTAGTTATAACCTAACTTAAGTATCATTTTTAAAAATTATAATATTATAATCTGTCCGTTTTAAGTACATAAATCAATTAAACTAAAAAAAAATATGTTATCTCAATTGAAAATGTTGTAAATCTATGATTGGTTCATGTTTTTTTTTCTTTTTAAGTGTAATAATAACATAATAAGTTGTTGGTATTATATTTATTATAAATATGTGCGTATTCTAAAGAAGACGATACGTGTTCACAATTCACATCAATACAATTTTAACTGTCCATCTTGAGACAGAATGTTTGAGTGATGATGATGAATTGACGAACTTTTTGTACATATTTTCATAGAAAAAAAATTGTATTTACATTAATAAATCGAATATTTGCGTATGACCATAACTAATATCTAATACAAAATATATAAAACAATTAATGTTTTATCCAATAAAGGTGGGGTCGTTTATATATTTAATATAATTTAATACCAAGTAGATGATATTGTTTGTTGAATGTTGATATGTAAATCGCTGAGGAAAATATGAAAAACTTAACTTTGAAAAGTTTAAAAAGTGACTTAAAAATCGATACATATACAGTGATAGATAATTGTATTAAAGGTGAAACGGCAATGACAATAATATTATTTAATTAAAAATAATAAACAAAATATGTTGGAATTATTAGGAACGATCGATAATTTTAAACTAAATGTAGAAAACCCATAATCAACTACTTATTATTATTTGAATTGAGTGAATCGAATGGGTGAAATCAAAATAAGTATCTGTATAGATACTCATGGAAATAATTTTAAAACTTCATAGGAAAGTACATGAATGGAAATATTCAATAATACATATTATATTATACAGAAAAGTTTTTAATATTGAAATTAGTTTTTACAAAATATTATAACCGCGATTCGCTAGAGGCATGGGTTTCCAGACTCTTAGAGGATCGGCCTCTAGGTCATTCGTTTTTACCGTAGGTATTTGGTATGACTTCTGAGTTACCGGAGTTCTGAATCCAACTTTAGATTGTAAGGTGGTTGTCGAAAGAATATAAACTATTCCATTCAAAAATGTACCATAATACGTTGCCATACAATACTGAACAAATATTAAAACAGAGTGATGTAATAATTTTGTTATCATTCATCCATTAAACGAGCCCGATAGCCGTGTCCCGTCATTGCAGACTATTTGAACTAAATTTACCAAAATAACATTTTTTTATTTGATATAAATATTGCTTATTTTTAAAATTTATATTATACAGACGTATAGTGTCAAAGACATACAGATTTTGATATTTGCATATTCGTAATCAAATATAAAAAATATAGTTCACGCGAGCGAAGCGTTGTTGACTAAAAAATATGACTTAATTTGTCTTTATTGGACTAATAAAAGTTTTGCATCTGCTGAAATTTAATTGAATTACGCCAATGGCCAATGGGTACTGCTGTGGACTGGCTTTACTACCTATTATACTATTATTTAGCTCCTCGAGCGTGCTTTTTTGCAATAATATTAGGATAATTCATACGCAATTAGGATTGTAAGGCGACAATATTGCATAGAGGTAAAAAAAAGAAAGTTGAAATTAGATTACGCTCGAAGACATCGATTTATTTCTGTTTCCTATATTTTGTCAAAAGTTTTTTCCCTCTTAATTGAAAACTGAGATATCCTCACTGAGCTGGTCTAGGATTAAATATCTCAAGTTGATGGCCTTAGATTGAAATACGGTGTACTTGTACTACGTAAAAGGTATAGGATACTGAAGGACACATTTTGGTAAAATTTCAAGTTTTTAACTCATTTGGTTGACATATGCGTAATAACAGTTTTTTGAAAAGTATCCATTAATTTTTTCCCTTTCTCACCAGACATGGATAGATGATTTCTTTTTAAGTCATTTTAATTCATTGACCCCTGTCTTAAACCTAAAATTTAATGAATTATTACAGGGTCACAGTTTTAAGAAATTTAAAAATAATTTGGGGTTTTCATGGATTTTAATATTTTAAAAAAATAATAAAATAATAATTACTTTGCAACATATTATTTTTATTTAAGTTTATTTTTTTATCTTCTATAATCCTATTGAGATTTTTGAAATTACCTACACATTTAGTAAAACAAAATCTTTAAAACATTTAACCTAACTATCCTTTTTTAGGCAAATAAAATAATTGTATTTCTCGAAATTGTAATCTTCGTTATACTACAGCATAATATATTATTTAAAGTTTAAATTTTAAGTCACTACTCTTATTCTTTTTAAATTAGATCTTTGTTTCCCCCACGAAGAATAAATAAATAATTTATAAGTTTTACTTAATATGCATAATGCAAAGTTCTATATATCACTACGAAAATGTCCAAATATAAAAAAAGTCTTCTAAGCTCGTGTAATATACTTATTTTATTAGAAATGATTAAAAATGTACCTACTTAGTTGGCTCGTTAACACAAAACATATATTTTTCCACATTAATTGTATTTTATTTGCCTTTTTTTACGCGAAAAGCGATGTTTAAAGGTTGAATTAATTTTTAAATTAGGTCCTTATAAGCGGTATAAATATTATACTTACAATTTTCCTAACAACGATTTGACCATTTTTGGATCACTAGCTGAACTTATAATACTGTTTTTGAATGCAATTAAAATATCATTATTCCTTAGATTTAATTACAATGTGTTAAAAGTTTATGATTTAGACATTATTCAAAAATTTATTTATCGTCAAATATTATTATACTATTATTATTATCATTATTATATATTGTAAAATGTAAAATGTAATTAGACTTTGTCTGTATAAATAAATAAATATATAAATTAATAGAGAGTAAGCAATTACTGAAAAATCTCCGTTTTTTTGGCCCATAGTAGATACAATTAATTTTCTGTTATGTTATCACACGTTTTATATTTGATTAACTTAATGAAATTTCATCCCAACCTAATACTAATCCTAACTATAACTATAATTTTAATGATTTCAAATTAAAAAATGGTGATTGTCATAATCGATATTACTTCGCGAGTAATCGTTATAGGAAATGTCAAATATCTAATTCTGACAACGTTATTAACAATTATCATTAACGAAAAATTGTAATTTTAAAAAAAAGTTCAGTTAACTAATGGCATACCATAGTATCGTCAAAATAAAAAATGATATTTAGCTGTGATGTTATTTGTTAGATCCGTAGAAGATTCTTAAGCTTTTCAAAGACCTATGCATCTTGGCATACATAAATTGAGGGGTTTCTCTCTAACAGGTCAATATCTTTCTCCAAGTTGTTCAGTTGCTTTTCCAACATGGTTTTCCTCTTCATTTTTGGCACCGTGTCGGTGAGCATCGGCAACAGTAAAAATTCTTTGTGAAGTTCAGCCCAATTTGTCTTCAGTCCCTGAGTGAACAAAAAAAAACGTATTCATAGGTCAGCTAAGTCGGTATCGAATTCGTTAAACAGACGCACAATGAGAAGGCAAGACACAGAGTAAGAGAATCACGTTAAAAATAAAAAATCAGTTTTTCAAATAAATCTGTCGGGCCCTTACGTTCAACATTTCGTTACGTTCGACCTCGGGTAAATATCGGAAAGGCGGTATTACAGCTCGTTTTCGTTCAGTCTCCATTAGTTGGGCCATTTCTTTTTCCTTGTACATTTTCACGATATATGCTGGTGTTTTTCCATAATTCTTAAGACAAACAATAATTATCAACAAATATTACAATAATGTTTCACCGCTACAACGAAGGTGAGTATAAAATTAATACGATATTTATTGATTCGTAGAATATAGAGTTATCTGTGGCTCGGAAAGTGCTAGCTTAATAAATAAGGAACATATTATTTTGTTCTTTTATAAGAACATCTCCGTAATGAAATCATATAATAAAAATATATTACTGGAACAACGTTCACTCTTGATCAGACAAAAAGCTATTTCAGGTTGTGTAATAATTTCTTATTTTATTACCTCTCTGTTTCATTCGATTCGTATTAATATGAAAAATTATAAATACGACATTATAACGAACTCAACTCGCAAAATCCTCTTACAGTCTTACCTAAACATTCAAACTTAAAAATTCAATTAGTTGTTGAGGCGAATTGAATTAATTAAAGAAGACTAAATGATTGATTTTGATTTTTCAAAAAGGGTCCTTACATCTTAAATACCTAGTTAAATGTAAATATATTCTATTTTTAAATAATAACCAAGAAATCAGATATCAAATCATAAGCTGAGCTTGATAGACTTAATAGGAGCTAGGGTTAGGCGAAAGATCCTATTTTTATATACCTAAGCTTAAAGGTTAGCATGAATAAAAAATGTAAGACCAACTGAAAGGGAGGGACTAACTTTATATCTGAGAAGCTTTAGAACCCTTCCCCTCCAAGCCCCCTAACTTCTACAGTGTACCTATTACTTATTTAGATCAAACATTTCATATATTCTAAAACCATACACATAAAATATTAAAAATATATTATAATTATATAACACACCTTCTTGGACACGTAAGTGGGCTCCAAACCGGCTTCGTTCAGTACAATTACGTGTCCATTCCTTGTGTCCTGGACCCGATGCCTCGGCAATGGTGGCACCTTCTTTATAACGTCAATGATGTTAGTTTGTCTAATGTTTTTCCGCGTTTTTGTTGGCAGTTTTTTGGAAACATTTGTCGCTGCGCCGTCGCACGGTCTCTGAATCGATTTTCTAGCACAGCATCTAGTTTTATTTATTTCTGGAAAATCCCGTAGTCAAATGAGATTGAAAATATATACCTAACTGGTGTATGGTTTTCTAAAATATTGGTGTTTTTAAATTATGGCCAGGCACCAAATTTTTTTTTTTTTTTTAATTGTATAAATAGTAAAATGTTAATACATTTTATCAGACTTAATTTCTAGGTACTAAAAAGTATTAAAAAAACAAAAAAAATGCATTAAGTTCTCGACCGCGATAACGATATTAGTAGGTACCAGCAATAATAATTGTGGAGTTTGTATAAACCTTACCGACAGATGGTCTCATATCTTTTCTGGTGTGCTTCTTTAGAAACTGTGACGGTGGATCGAGCTCAACTTCGGCATAGCCCATAGTCTTATGACAGTTATTGTTTGACTTATGCGTCCTCCTCACAGACTCAGTGTAAATCGAGCGGTACATCGGCGGTTTGACGACGGGTGTTTTTGGTCTTGGAATCAAGTGTTTAATATTCTCCTGGAATTTACTCATCGTTGAACTCGTACCACAAAATCTACTGTATTATCAACTTCCCGATGGATATACTAAATTCAAAATATGTAATAAGTATCGAGTCGCGTCTGGTATACCAAAATATTTGTTGGATCAATGACGATGACAGACGGAAGTGTACATTTTAGCTATAGCAACGCTGCAGTAGCAGTTTATGACGGAAAACATAATATAATTCAAATATACTGCAATCAAACACATCATAATATTACGTTGTAACGAATTCGATTATTATACTTTCTTTACCCAACGTAAGAAGTTCATACTTATATAATATATTGGTAAATGGCGTTGAGTCAACGAAAAAGATATAAATATATCATTCATACTTAATAAGTATCTACCTAATATTTATGTATAAGTCCATGAACCTTAATATATATTATCTATAATAATATATCTAAACTCTAATAGTCAACGATTTAACAACATTATTAATTATTATATAAATAAATAAAACATATTATTATGAATGAACGTCAAAACAATGTTCGAAAAATAGCTATATAATATTTCATTGTTTACACAATATGCTCATTCCTTTATTTATTGAGAAAATATATGTAAAAAAATGTCACTTAGAGATTTAAATACACTAAACATTGTCACAAAACTACCATTTAATACTTACGAAATAAGAATATAATAAATACAATAAACTATGATACAATTTTTGAATAAACATTATTTTCATAAAATTGTTTATATCATTATACATATATAATCATAACAATATATGATTATTATTCATATTTATCAAGTCATATATCAGATTTTTATTTGACAATAAAATGAATGATTCAGTTATTTCAATAAGAAATATTTTTTCCCAAACACAATATAATATTGAAAAAATACTAGAGAACTATTTATATATTATATATAATTAATAGTTAAGCATAAGCCATATTCAGACATAAAATTATTTATATTTGACATTTTTCATTGAATAAATAGATAAAAAAAATATTCTTATTAATTGAGTCTTAAAATTGCCTATATTGGCTATAATAATTTATGAATTATTATTTACTAATCAAAATTATAGAGTATAGGTACATGCATTCACATTTATATTTGATTTTTTTTTTCTGGGCTTTTTTTCTTTGGTGTGTTCAATATTTTGTGTTTTTTTCCGCTAGGTTTATTTTTCTGGGCTTTTTTTCTGTGGACTTTTTTCCACCAACCAAATTAATTGTATTAAATAATTTAGGTGACAATGATCCAGATGATGAAGGACACATGGAGTTATAAGATAATTAAATAAATAAACAAATTCGTGTTATTTTTTTTAAATACAATTTAGATACAACGATTGTTATGAATAAAATCTATGTTATTTTTTTTAATAGTTGGTATTAGGTACTAGCCTAAAAATATGAACTAATTTAGTAATAGAAACAGTCACAATACTTACCCCACTCTGTCAAGAGGGTCTAGTGGGTTATGGGTTGAACTAATTTTTGCAAAAAAAAAAACATTGCATTATTAATTTGTATGAATATAATTTTATGCATTATTATTATTAAATTATAATCAATATTTACCATAGAATGGTGTTAATAAGTTCACACCTTCGCGTTTATAAATACTTTAAAGTTATGACTCATTGCGATGCATAAAAATTAATATAATATTCGTAATGGTAAAAGGTTTCAAGTTTTTGCTATTAATATTTTTGGAATTACAATATAATAACAAAAATAGTTATTTTTTTTGTGTAAGACGTTTAAGTATCCAGATTTGATAACAATTTCAAATAGTTACAATAAAAAACTGTAACTTCCTAGATTTGATTATTTTTTAACTGCTGTAAAAATAATTTTGTATTACATTTTTAAGATTTTTTACCAAGAGATTAATATTTTGTCGAAATAGAAGATCGAAAATGTCTTTAACTGTTGCGTAAAATATATTCCAGTTTTAATAATCTGAAATTTCAAAAAAAAAAAAAAATGTAGTATGGTCCCACCTACCTACTGTACACTTTGGACAAGCCTACATGATTTAATATGTTTTTCGTGTCAATCATTTTTAACGGTATTAGTGGATTATTTATGAAATCTGATTGAAATTTGCAAGGAATAAATTATGGCATAGTAAACGTTTTATCTTTTATGATGACATACGATGAATATACTAAACGATTTGCTGGTTAAAAATTAAATACTTAAATACCTGTATATGGGTTACACATTTTATCACATAACTTCATAACAAAACAAAAACGCAAGTAGAAGTCCAAAATTCAAATATTGATAGGTACTTTTTTAATTTAGATAATATTATTTGCTGTGGCGTAGCCATTTAGTAAATATTTTTTATAATATAGACATTATTTGTATTTCATATATAATATAATATAACTATATAGATAATAATATAGAGTATAGAAAATTTTACACAAACAATTTTTAATGTAATTATTTTTAATAATTACAGTTTTCGCAATACTGTACACGTTGCACACAATTTTGTATTGTTACAACTGTTGTCGTTTTACTAGTTCATAGTAACATCCTTTCAGTTCTAGTAACTCGTCGTGAGAACCGAGTTCGGTGATCTGCCCACGCCAGACAACAGCAATATCGTCTGCCGATTGGATGGTTGACAAACGGTGAGCAATCGTGATACATGTCCTACCTTTTCTAGCTTCGTCCAAAGCTTCTTGAACGATCTAGAAATCAAATGACAAAATGCCATAAATGCTGTGTTTGGACATTGTTTTAATTTGTAATTTATTATTATTTAAAATTTATTTCAACTTAACATAATCAAATAATTATTCAATTAAATACTTGACATTCAAACAGAATTGAGTTTGATAACATACGACCTTTGAATAATATAATAATATATACATTGATAGTGATGAAGGTAAAGTGAAATAGTAATTTTAATAATACAAATTCGTTATTTTGATACATTGTTCGAAAAAAATAACTCACTTTTTCGCTTTCTGTGTCCAATGCTGAAGTAGCTTCGTCCAACAAAAGTATTTTAGGATTTCTTACCAATGCTCTAGCAATAGCAATTCTTTGTTTTTGACCACCAGAGAGCTGTGTACCTCTATCACCAGCTATCGTGTCGTAACCCTACAAATTAAATTTAACTGTAATGTACTATATTTTCAAAAACATAAATTTCAGAAAAAGTGTTTTATATACTTGTGGTAAACTCATTATAAAGTTGTGAGCGTTTGCTTTTTTCGCAGCTTCGACTATCGCATCAAATGACACGTCACCACCAGATACACCGTAACTGATATTTTCTTTTATAGAACAGTCGAACAACACAGGTTCCTGAGTGACTAGGCCAATGTTACTTCGCAAATGTCTGATGTTTATTTTCCGGATGTCGTGACCATCTATTTCCTAAAAGTGAAAATTAATAAAAGTTATAATTACGTGTATTGTTAAACGATTGTTATATTATTTGTAACGTGACTGGTATAATAATAAAACTTACGATCACGCCAAATGAAGGATTGTAAAATCTCTCAAGAAGTGAAATAACAGTACTTTTTCCACAACCCGATTCACCGACTAATGCCAAAGTTTTTCCCGGTTCCACAGTGAAATCCATGTTATTTAAAATTTTCTTCGTCTTCCTAGTCGGATACGAAAAACTAACACCTCTAAATGATATTTTACCAATTATTTCCTAAAAAACGATCATGCATAAATAAGCACACCTAATATAAAGTTGTATTAAAATGAAAAATAATAATACAAATTGTGTACCGGTTTGTCCCCATCCTTCGATTGACTATCGATTTCCGTTGGTTTTTCAATGAGCTGGAATATAAGCGAGGCGGATTGCTTCGCTTTAGCGTAATCTTGTAGGAAAGCCATTGTATGACCCACCGAATGGGCGGAGAATGACAGTGCAAAAAAAACCCTGTAAATAGTAATTAAATTCATTTATTGTTTGTAGTCCATCGTAGTTTTACCAAACCAACCTATATACAGCGGAAGGTGTCATTTCTCCTTGGAGTACCAAATAAGATCCATACTTAAAAGCGACCGAATACAGTATGTATGTGATCGATTGCGATAGAGCAAATAAACCCGCATATATGTATGCTTGTTTTTTTGCTTCTCTAAAAAATAATTAAATTACATTTATAATCTACGATGATCAAAAAGGTAGTATTTTCATTTTACTTGTTTGGGACCTTTAAGCTTTTATGATACAGCTCGACAAACTTTTTCTCTTTCCCTAACGATTGCACCGTACGCACGTTCTGTACACTTTCGGTCGCAATCTAAAAATTAAAAATTTTTGGTAACAAAATTAACATGATATATTGCATGAACGTATAATATTTATTATACTCGGCCCGCTTCGTCCATAAATTTCGCGTCTCTCCGTTGGTTTTTCCTGAGACCCATTTGTTGTTGGTATCCAGCGCCTATTATCAACGGGACAGCCAGACCAAGCACTATAGCTAGTTTCCATCCATAGATGAGAGCTATGCTTATAGCTATAGTGAGCGTTACGATCGACGACATCACTTGACCGGCACGCATTCCACCAGCCTTAATAAACAAAAAACAATAGTAATAATTATGATGATCGTTTAAAATTAAAACATATTGTCAGATTTATAGGTAAATGCTAGCAGACCGCTTTCACTATGGGAGCATCTCGCGCTAATTTCGTGGTCAAACACCCCGGACTTGAGTCTTTATTGTCGAACCAACCGACTGATTGCCTCAGTATATTGGTGAATGCCATGGCTCGGAGACGCATCATTAGTTTCTCCGAAGCGAATGTTAGTAACCACGTCTGTAAACACGGCGTTCAATTTATTATTTATCCAGAAAATATTAATTCGAATTATTAAAATTAGGGTTCAGCACTTGTTGCATTTGCAAATTGTTTGATAGTGACTGCAGAATAGTCTTAGTAAGATAAAAATCTGTTTCAAGTCATGACAGATTGACACACAAAAATTGTAATTGCATATTTCCGCATATTTCGCCGTTTTCCGAGCAAAACGCATATTTGACAAATTTTGGCAATTTAAAAGTTGTTCATAGCATATTTACTTTCGCAGTTTTCGTTTTATGTTAAGTAAATTTATTTTAAAGGTCAACATTGTTTTTTTTTTACTTTCATGCTTGAAAGACTAAACTAACCTAACCTTCAATATACTGAATATAGAACAAGTCAGGACAGGGCAACTACGGAAATACTTAATGATTTTTCCGTATAACTTGGTTTATTAATGAAGATGAGGTTATAACATTATCAACTGGATTTGGCAACTAGTGAAATACCTAATTGTTCCTGCCTATAGCTACTATCGGTTATCGACTTATCATTTACATACTTTTATAGTGTTATTTTTGTCAAAAAATTACTAATTTGAAAAAATTGCAGAAACTAAGACGAATAATTCAAATTTTTTAATTACCATTAAAAAATATTCAGTTGCATATATTTTTTGCACATATTTCGGTTATTTTAAATGCATATGTGCATGCATATTTCCTACAATTTGTGTGCAATAAGTCACGACTCGCGATCATTACATTTTTAATAATTAGGAGTAGGTACATACCTGACAAACTATGGTCAAACCCGCAATTATTCCAAGTACAACAAACATAAAAGACCAAAACCGTGCTTCTCTTTTCAACGCTTCGCCTTTTAGTGTTAAAGACTAATATAAAAGGACAAATCGATTATAAGCACATCGTAAATGATTTGTATTACACTTTTGAAACAATTATTTTAAACTATGGTTATTTTCTCACCTCAAACACTTGTCCATAAAAGTAGGCATAAATTGGAACTAAACCGCCATTAATGACACAACCGATACAACCGAACAACAAATATGCCCATTCCGGTGAGTTAAATTTCATCAATTTCCACATACAGTATTTTGAATTATTTTTCTATGAAAAAATGTATCCATAACATTGACAATTAGGTAGATATAAGGTAGTGTATTAAATTAACACACCCGCATGAATATGGTGCAGTTTATAAATCACAACATCACAAAAAGCAAACAATAATGAATTGTATCTATAGTATTACCGCACAATTATTATGAAATTGTAAGATGCTCATCTTTCTAATTTTGTTAAGCATCTGCAGCTCTTCGGGAATATCAGTCTTTAAATAATTTAAAATTAAATATTTTGATTATTATTATGAATGATTGATATTAGAATATTATTGATGTGAAATGAAACAAACAGATTAATATATTAATAAATAAGCATTAGCTTAAGCTTTAATGTTCTTACAATTTCTTTCAGATCATCATCTTCACATATTGAACAATCTTTTAGTGTTTCATCACAATTTTCATAATCTTCAGTCTTGTCTTCCTGTCTTTAAATTGTGTTTCAATGTAAATATTAATTAATCAATATATGCCCTACATTTAATATTTCTAGGTGCTCACTCCAAAACTGTTTCTTCCTTGTCTTCGTCACATAAATTGATTTGAGCCACCACCAAATTATAGTATAAACCTTTTTTATCCATTAATTCAGTATGAGTTCCAGATTCATAAATTCTACCGTTCTAAATATAAATAAATAAATAAAAACGCTCTCTAAAATTGTTTCAATTTATTAGATTGACTCAATTAAATAATTATCTAGGTACCTTCATTGCATGTATGACATCTGCATTCTTAATGGTTGAGAGTCTATGAGCTACGATAATAGTCGTTCTGCCTTTCATTACTCGATCCAATGCATCTTGAACAATTCCTTCGCTCTGAGAGTCTAACGCTGATGTTGCTTCATCTAACAAAAGTATTTTCGGGTTCCTAACTAATGCCCTTGCTATTGAAATCCGTTGTTTTTGACCACCAGATAGTTGACAACCTCTATCGCCGACATACGTGTTTAAGCCCTAAATAATGTAAATGATGTGTTTCGTGTTCTTATTCTGCGAATTTCATAAAATATGGTTTTAAGGATTATTACGTTTGGCAGTTCTTTAATAAAATCATAGGCGTTAGCTTGAATAGCTGCTTCTATGAGTTCATCATTCGTGATATGTTCTCGGCCGTATCGGATATTATCAGCAATTGACACACCAAAAAGAATCGGTTCTTGAGATACAATCCCGATTTGATCTCGTAGCCAATGAACATTAAGATCGGTTAATTTAATAGAATCTAAATAAATCTAAAAATGGTACGATAGTAGAATGAAATAAAGTTAAATCAATTCGATAGGCAAAACGATTTACTTGTCCAGCTTCTGGGTCATAGAATCTTAAAAGTAGACCTACAATAGTACTTTTACCAGCACCACTTGAACCCACTAATGCAACCGTTTGACCGGGTTTGATTGTAAAATTTAAATTATTTAGTACCTAAAACACATGTTCAGTATAATTAAATAGATGTTATATGAATAATATTTTATTCATTCACACGCGTTAATCTCACTTTGACTTCTGGTCTCGATGGGTATCTGAAATCTACGTTTCGAATTTCAATTTTGCCGGTAACCTTTATCGGTTTTAGTCCGGTTTTCGAATATGAATCGATTTTTGGAACTCTGTCGATAATACCGTACAAGTTTCTCGCTACCCCGATGGCTGTGCTAACCGAGTTTAAATACGGTATAGCACTTCCAATTGAAAATGATCCGGCCATCACGCTAAAGAAAACCTGTTAAGCATTATATCATGTCGATATAATGTCGAAGTGGTTTCTTAAAATATTCAGAAATAATTACGGTAAAAACTGTGCCGGGCGTAGCTTCACCGATTGAGACCAAATTAGCTCCGTAATAAAACGCAACCCCATAACCTATGTACATCATCATAAACACGGTTCCAAGTCCAACAGAGAAAACTCTATATCTGTTTGTTGCAATATTACGTCCTTTTTTTAAAGCTGCAATATACCTATGGATAAAAGTAGTATAAAAAAAATTATTTTGATTCTATACCGATGATAAGCTTCACAGTAATTACGTGCAATAATCTAGTATGCATAGATAGTTATTGTACAGAGAAGATAGGGTGAACAAAATACATACATGATAGTCAACAGATATATAGGTAAGATGGTTGAGTGGCTCAAAGATTAATGATTATTATTTGCAGCTCAGAACATACGAATCAGAACGTGGTTATGCCCTTATAAGGTTTTGTGTGTTGGAACATAAAATGAAAATTGATTTCTGAAAGAATGAGAAGGGAATGTAAAAAGTATCGAGGAATTCAGAAATTTCTAGCAAACCATTTAATACTGAGAACAGGAAACGTAAATCTGCTTTATCGCTGATTTTAGTCTTATAATGGAGTATTAATGGTTAATGCATGATACATCTATCGGATAGTAAAATACAAAATGTAGTTTAAATAATTTTTTTGGAAATTTATAAGTTTGGATAGCATATGTAATTTGGTTTAATGGTAGCCATAATTTAAATCATTAACTATATCAAAAGGTGCTTAAAAAATATTGCCACCTCAGTGTAAATGTTTATAATTTATGCTGTCAAGACTGTATAATAAATATGTACCTATATTTAACTTTCTATCCTAAAATAGTCTACTTTTTGAACACAAAAAATTACCAAGGAAAGCTTATATATGTACTAAATTGATCCGGAAACATGGCTGTGTGTATTGTGAATCTAGATGCAAAATATTCTTAAATTATCTTATCAAAAATATTGATAATTTTAAAAAGTAAAAAATAGTAACCATTAACACCTCTTCTAATGTCCAATACTTAAACCAAATTTCTACTTACACTAATTATCATTCAGTTTATAAGAATTTACTATTTTAATACTACTTACCTAATAATACAAACTATTATTATTGCAGCAACTCGATTAAGATAGACGGTGTAATATTATTGTATATGTATAATACATAGGTAATAGTATAATGTTTACACACCTCGAGATTCCTTGTTTTTCTAATCCGAACGCGGCTACAGTTCTAATGGATGTAAACACTTCTTCTGCAATCGATCCAGCCTCTGCGTATTTTATTTGTTCTCTATGACAAGCTCTGGACGCATTCTGAAAACATAATTAATGTCGACCAATTATATTTGAGTACAACGTATTTGGTGTACTCGTATAGCAATCATGAGTGTGATTTCACTGTGAATATACAAATATAATCTCACCAGACTCAGAAAACCCATAATTCCTATAATTATAGGTCCAACGAGAAGTAAGAGTCCTGTTAGTTTAGGACTAATGTAGAAACCAACCAGCAGCCCAGAAATAAACGTAGATACGTACTGCGTGAGCATGCTGAACTTGCTACTTATACCCTCCCGAATCCGCTCCAGATCGCTGTTTAAATGTATAATAGAAAATTAAATGAAACTTAATTTTCAATTAATATTTTCCCGAATGGGCGTTAGTAAATAAGTATATAAATATTAGCATTTAGCATGTCTTATATTGTATATTTGTACACAGAGTAAATAGTAATTGCCAATAACAAAATATGTGTATCATACTCGAATAGTTTTGACGTAAGATCGCTGCTCTGATTAGTATCGAACCAAGTTATGTCTTGCCTTATGATCTGCGAGAAAAACACATTACGAAGTCTGTACACTTGTCTTTCACATGCCATCTCCCAGCACCAAGTCTATAAAATATGTACATAATAAAAGCTGTGTTAATTCAGTTGTACGAATACCGTATTTCCGTTTTATAACACCTGTGTGTATGCAGACAACAATACGACGATACCAATGTATAAATAGTACAACGAAAATTGCGTCATGTAACTGTCAAACTCTTCGGGAGTAAGCGCTGGAATAGAATCAAACGGTGTGATTGTCCTTCAAAAAAAAAAACACTTTATGTAGTATAAACGAATGATGTATGTAATACATAGGTAGCTAATCTAAATAAAATATACAAATAGGAAACATTGTACATAGTATAATATAATATACCTACTCGTTAGAAACATTCGAGTGGGCTCTATAATCTGGCGTTGACCCTGCGACGGAATTAAGCTGCAAGATAAAAATTAAACTGTGACCTTAAAATTTTAATTTGTTTGTAAGTGTTGAGATTTAAATAATTTAAGTAAATTGTATTGACCTGTAAGAGGTCTTTTACTTGAATGGTCGAAAGTTTCGCTAGTCCAATAGAAATTATTGATGTCAGATGTCAATAATAATTAATAATTAAGTCGTTTCGATATGTTGGTTAAAACTGTTAAAAGTGTTTCTGATTTGGTACTGTCTTAATATATTATAGAACAATATAGATTCAAATATGTAAATATTACCGCTGTAGATTGTCTGATAAACGTATTTGTCATATCACCGAAAAACATTGCCAGAATGGGTAAGCTAGCTCCTGTAGCCAAAGACATGACGATACCCACGATCATCAATAGCGCATCCCAAATGTCTGCATATCGGAACTAAAATAGTAAAACATTATAACTGTACAAGTGCCGAACTAATTATTAATTAATTATTGTTCGATAAAGGAATGGTATGACTCAAAATGCATATTTTTCTTTATGCTCTTGAATATAGCAGACCAAGCAAAAAATCCATACTATAGTATGTCGAGTGTACATGCGAATATTTAAGGGGATTGGTGGCAGACAGTTATTTTAGCCAAAACATACCAATCTTCTGTCCATCATACTTATCGACCTAGTAATACGATAATACTTTTTAGAACTGATTTGAATTTTTTATTATGTCTACTTTAAATCGGTCTACTTTTCCCAATTTCACCTAGTTTGAATATTTTGAAATTTTGGAATTTTCAAAAGTTGATTATTCGGAATTTCATTCAGAAATCTTAAAATGTGGACTGGCCGATCTCGAGTAGACATTATAACGAATTCAGATCAGTTTGCTAAAATATTATGATGTTATTAGGTCGATCGGTAAGACAGACACAAAGTACATACAAATGATCATAAATTGTTTACCGTTCACTAGTGCAACGCCGAGTAAATGACATGTATATGCGCTTGCGGGAACGCTCCACTATTTATTTTACACACAGTCACACACACTAATCATCACTTACTACGCACACATTTATAGACCCGCTTGTAAGCAATTTGGAAATTGCCTATTTCGAACTCTTTAAAAACTGTCCACCACCGATCCCCTTAAAGTGCTAATTTTTAATTGTTGAATGGTTCGACAATTTTAGGAAAGGAGTATTTCATGGTTTTTTATGCAGGGCAAGCGAGGGTTCATCGATAAGAGTCCGGATATGGTCACCCATCTGGAAGCCAGTATAAATTATATTTAGTTGATTTTTTACATATTATTATAAATATTTTTTTGTTAATAAATCACACCTATTATACGGCTATACATTTTGTTATTTTCTTTCAAAGTTCTCAGCCTAATCTTTTATTGTATACACTGTGAAACGGACCGGACCAATAATATGTATGAATTGAATATTATGCACCTAATTTAATTTTTAAAGTTAGTCAAAATAACAACAACTTTTAGGCATTTTAACTAAATTTACTACGCTATAAATACAATATGCATGCAAAATATCTGTATGAAAAACTTATGTTTAGTATACATTTTGAGCATATACGCATTATTACATAATATAAAATGCATTCGTTTAACATCGTTCCGGGTTATAACATAGTCATAGGGTTATCTGATCAATTATATAGTAACACTATCATCTGACTGGTTTTAGTCAAATGACATTTTTTTAATTAATTACTGTGAAAAAATACATGGCCTCTATTCTTCTTTTTTTTAATGCTAGAAACGCATTTTTATCAACATGGTTGTCACTGACTCAGTATATAGTATGCATATAGTAGGTAGGTACCTAACCTATAATATATGTTATTGTTGCACGCCATGAAAGTTTAAAAAAATATTATATGAACAGCTTAGTGTTAATTTATGTATAACATATTATATCTAATTTTTGTCCGACAAGTGGGTTTCCGAGACAATAATAATTATTGTTTATTTATATCTATATCACGTTTTTTATTTACGTAACTCATTAAGAGACTGTAAAAGGTACATGACAGATAAGCATTGACTGCACAGATAACTATCTCATTGGGGTTTATTGCACGACTTCATCGAATCGTTTCATTATTCGATATTGTAACTTTAATAATTCTAATACTTACCTAGGCACACACTCAATATTATAAACTTTACTTAGTGTTTTTACTTTATAGTTGATATTTGCATTTGAGCGTCACCCAAAATCACGTTCTAATATATTATGGCATAGCTAAAACCAAATCTATATTTGTTTTTAATTTATGCTTGTACTTCAAACAGAATATTGTTATATTACAAACAATGAATATGGTAAATAATTGGTAACGACATGTGTTTAAATACATAACAAAATAGTGTAAGACTATAAAGTAATAATAATTAAAATAGAAAAATTACAGTGAGAATAATGTAGAAAGATACCTTTTGTGAAAACTCAAAATGTGTGTTGTGATTTCATTGAGTACCTGAGAAATGGAATTCTCTAAAATAAGTTTATAAAAACTAATGACACTATAAGGACCAAATGGGTAGGTATTTACGAAAATATTCATTCCAGATATCCATTGCCAGTTTACTAAAATAATGTACCTACACGACTTTAATACCTACAATGGCTAAATAGTAAATACAACCTCAAAATATCTCGGGCTTCAACATGACCCACCTATTTCGAATTTAAAATATCCTTTACTCAAAATAATCAGCATTTGAATATTATAAATGATACATTTTTTTAAAAAACATTACAATAATTTGTAGAAAACGAATTATATACATTTATAGGTATTTATGACAGCTATAGTTAGTGGGAAAAAAATTAATTTGACGTGTCTAAAAAATTAATTAACAAGTTACTGTATATTATAGAACAAAACTCATTATGCATCCGAGTTAAAAGTAACTAAACTTTAACTTTTTAACTCGATAATGCCCAGCAGCCTTGTAAATTGGTTTATAATATTATATCAAACGAATTTGATCACTTTTCTTTAATGAATAATAATGCTAATCTAGCTATATGTTCATGCATTTTTAACAATAATATATTTTACATAACGAAAATATAAAAGAAACTTAAGAAACTAATTTATTTGAAAACTACATCTTTTAAAATTTTTATTCAATATTCTAAGATTCTATTCAACAACTTTTCCAACGAGAATAACTTTTGAAATAATACGTTTGTAACGTGTATTTTCATGTGTGACTATTACATTCAAATTTATGAGTACAAATTAATTAATATTAATTATTACATTATTAATTATTATTAAATTATTAATTATACATATATTACTTAATTAACCAATTTAAAATTGTTATCAATTATAATACCTACACGATTTATTAAATAGTTGATATAGGTTTTAGTGAACCTGGTCTTAATTTTGTATTTATTTGTTTTTTATTAAATGTAAAATAAATGTGGAGGATTAAAATAAATTTTAGCAACTTAAATCTATAACTGTAATTTTTATTTAAGTATTGGTATATATATTATATAATATGATTTATTTTTTCTATTTTTTAAGTGTTTCTTATTATTACACTATTCATATTTTTTTTTATATTAAATAATCTTTTTTTTTATTTTTTTTTATATTAAATAATCAATATACATTTCTACAATTTGTGTAATTATTTCAACCATTACCTTCAGCAAAACCTAAGGCTTTGGAGATAATTTCACAAAAATTATAATTTTAGTTGTATCATTAATTATGTATTGCTTATTGAAATAAATAACTCTTAAGTATTTTATCTTAAAAGTACATAGTAGATACCTACAATAATAGCTAATTATAGTCTATAGAGGGTCATTTGATCCGGATGTCAGAATAATTGTTCAACGCGGTTGTATTATTAATTTTGAATATTGCTTTGACAAGATATTAAAGTTGAAAAACGTTTTTAAGTTCTAAGCAAAATGAATTTTTAAACACTAAAACTTTAGACCAAAACTTTGACTTTAACCCAAAGAATAGATCTGCAGTTGTATTGTGATTAGATTTCCAAGGAACCCGTTACGAAGTATTCATTTCCCCTAAGGGTACAATTTAGGCATTTGCACTATAAGTGAATATCTAATTTAGGGACATAATATTCACCTAGCAGCTCCTTCGTACTAAATCTAATAAGTATAATGTATAAACATAGTAATAATTTTTAGTTATACCCAAAGGGATAAAATATTTAAGAGACGACAATGTGTATAACTTACGACGCGCAAGAGGCCAAATTTGACGTCGGACACGGATTTGCATTCTGGTTTGACGGTGGATCTGGAAAAACACACAACAATATTAACAACAATATCATGTAGATTGAACAGGAGCGATATGTACAATAATAATAACAATATGATGTATAGAATACTTATCGGATTGTCTCATCTTTATAATATATAATGTACTACTCTTACCTACCTATTATTCAGATTCAGCGTGGAGTTCGATAATCCCGAGTGGATCGATGCGCTCACAATGATTGATGGCAACTCAATCTCTTCGGAGAATTCATGTTTCTGGAACATATCAAACACGCAGCACATTTACTATTATTATACTTCATTCGTATACTCACATTAAATAATCGATCGTTTGTTTGTTATGAATTATGACCATTGGATACGCTCCACGCGAAATATTATATTCGAACCTATTACTCGATAATTTTTGACGGAATAAATCCTTTTTTATTTTTATTTTTGCCTATTCAACCGAGTAAAAATAACTTATTTACTCTACACGTTGATAACGCAGGAAAATGGAAAAACAACGTATCCATTCATATTCTCATCTATAAAGTTTCATGAGCGTTATCAAATATTAATGATTATTATATTATAAGATGTACAGTTAAAATCGAAAATATAATATTTTTTTCCTAGTAATTTTACACTAAACGTGTCCCATACTCCGATCATTATTAGCTTCGTGCCCAAATGTGGCTGTTGTCTATGTTTAAAGTACTTTAAAGTAATTACTCGTAAAAATACTATAAAGTCAATTGCAAAGCGTTATACTAAAGTAAACACAAATAGTGTTAACTGATTAGAAACGACGAACGAATAACAACTAATAACTGAACTTATTTACTCCCTATCCGCGTGTATAACTTAAACAGTTTGATTCATAGACAAATTTAAACACAATTCAAATACGACCATTATAATAGCAATATAATTAGAGCGATTATATTTAAAATATTTAGGTAAAAAAAAAAATAGTTATACTGACTGGAAAAGATACGACGGCCGATGAACACCCTAGGTTATAATATAATGGCAAGTAATATAATAGTATCAGCTAATAAGTAATAATCTTGTCGTTAATGCCTTAAATAATTTAATATGTAAAGCAAAATTAATGAATATTACCTATGGTATTCCTACTATATTAGACAAAGAATAAAAATAAAAGTTGGTGTGATTTTATGAAATTGCATAATTTAAAAACTAATAATTACTAATAATAAAATTTAGTATACATAGTAAAATCAAAATTCATTGTTGTTCATTATTATAAATTCTTCTTAGCTATATGCCTATATCTATTCAAGCTTCTTTAATATTATAGCTACTTAACTAAAATTATTATCATTTTTTATTTTAAAACTGTTGTTAATAATGTACTAAAGTACTTTTAAGGTATACCTATTTATGTATCTACTTATAGCATTGTAATGTAATTATTATTATTTTTTTATTGATCTTTATTTATTCTTTCCATTCACGAATTTTCAATTTAACCTACAGTAGTGGTTTTTAATCAAATTTATGTAAATGTTTAATGTTTATTATTAAATTGTGTCTTAAATAACTCGATCTGGGTTTTTATACCAATAATAATTTAATTTATGAACGGAAGTTGTTTTCTGAATGTCGTATTAATCAATTAGTGATAACTATAGACTGTCATGCATATTTGCATATATTTTTTTTTCGATCTTATTGTATGGTAACTGGTAAGTGGTAAGTAAGTACAAAATACGACATACAACGCTACAGTTAATGAAATAACCATCATTTGTAGTGCATGGTGTGCAATGTACATAGTTTAAATGTTTTTAATTATTGGGCATATTTTCGATTACCTATCCGGATAAATCGCTGTTATACGATTGAATACTTAATGTTTTTAACATTTGAACTTTAATCACTCATAAAGCCACATCAATGCTTTTGAAACATTTTTAATGTACCTAAAAATAACACGAAAACAGCCAAAATATTTTGAAAACAGCATCGTGTCTTGAAAATGATACATAATACCTATATATTTTTTGTAACAGACTAGTCATTCATTTTATTTGTTCACACACAAAAGAAAAATAACAAAACCGAATTGATTTAATCAAAATTTGGGATCATAAAAACATTCCAGATAATTTTGAAGAGTACTTTTGACCCACATTTTCCCCTATAGTAAGGATTCTCAAACTTTTATAAACACTGTACCCCTTTTTAACAATTTTTTTTTTGGGTACTCTCTTTTTAGTAACTAAACTAAAATATATATAAAAAAATTTAAAGACTTACATACATTTTTATTTCATTAAGATTAAGTTATTAAATGCTAATAAATAAAAAATTTTCTTACAGTATTAGAAATCGCTTCTAAATTCTATAAACGCTACTACAAACCACTTTACGAACATCTAAACGTTCTTGTGAAAATCTTTCCAACCCAATTTCTGGAAACCCTCCAAAAAGACTTAAGAGGAAATGGTGCCGCAATCTACTCCTTGAATAACCCTCCATAATAAAAAAAAAAAAGCCGGAGTGTCGCCAGTGAGGGACATCTCCACTCAAGTCCCTCTGTTATATTTTGTCTTCTTTCTAACCATTTATTATGCTTATTATACTAAATATTGTATAGATTGTATAAGTCAAAAAAAGGGTTTACTTTCAAAGTAATTTTTTTCCTCTATTTTAATTTGAACGTTTGTTGTCCAGACTGGCACCCCTTAAAAAATGTTGAGTACCCCCAAGGAGTACGCATATTACAGACTACAGTTTGAGAATCTCTGCCCTGTAGTATAAGCAAGATCCCATTTGCGAAAAGATAGTGACATAGTGTCTTATCTTATCCTTCATAATTAAGATAATAATAGTACTATTCAATTTCAATTTCAGTACGATTAGGTACATATAATCATAATACAATTTTCAATTTATCTCCCTTAGAGTAATCAAAAGGAAGTACGCCATTTTAATTTATAATTAAATTTTCTATTCTCAATTATTCTAGTCAAGTATTATTACATAAACTTCAGGTAATATTGACAAATACTTAAAATATAATCTTAGCTTCAAACTGTCAACACAGAATCGTATAATTGTATTTGCAAAATAATAAATTATACATTTTTGACATCAACTCAACATAAAATATCGATTTATACTATTTTCTTTCAACTTTATTTAATCATAGTATGAATGGATGCTTTAGTTTATCTAGCGGAGTGTTTTTAAATCAACAAATTTCTTTATTTAACCGGATATTACTGCCTAGTACCAATACCTATTTTGTTTCTTGAGTAAAATCCACTCTTCAAAAGCAAATAAAACGTGGAAAATACAATACGTCATATAAATATTTTAGAAAGAAGCTCGTGTCTGAAAAGTTCTTTATGCATTAAAATTGTAAACATCAATTATCGTCGATAATTATCTAAATAAGAGTAAACATAAAATTAATTTAAAAATATAGGTATTAGTAAACATTTTTATTATTAGGTTAATTCTAATTTACTAAATCAATAATGATAGAAAATCCCTACCTAATTTGTGCAATATTAATAATATGTCTTAAATGGTACCTAATTATTGGAACTCTTCCTAAAGCATCCAATATTCACCATTTTAAATTCTAAAAATGTACACACTGCATCAAATATATTTTTCAAAATAATTTTACTGGGCAATTGTATACAGTTCAAATGAAAATTAAAAGCTATGTTACTTTTTAAAAATAATTTTATTTTCGTCAAAGCTAATTGCTAGTATAGGTAATTAATAACATAAATCAATGAGAGTATCGGTCCTATAAATATGATACAGCATTCAGATATTTTTGGTTTCTACAAAATTAATAAGATAACTAATAATTTGATATAAAAAAACTTTCTTCTATACAGTAACAAAAATTTAACAATGTAATAGAGAACATAGTTTGAAGGTAATGATATATTTCATATGAATGTTACCTGATAACCTTACTACTAGGTATGTCAGAGGTTCTGTACTCTATTTTCAAAATTGTTTTTATAAAAATCATATTATATTATTTTATTTTGCTAATTAATTTATACATTTGTTTAGAGCGTCCTACGATATTATATTAATAGATTTCTTGTGACCTGTACTCATTTTATTGTACTTCAATTAACTGGTTTAGATAATTTTATTTAAAACTAATCCCTATAGTAATAAACTATCAAATAAGCGTAAACTATTTATCTACCTGGGTATTGTCAAGCGGAATCGAAACGAAGGGTAATCTATTCATAATTATAGCCTCTTGAATTTCTTAAGACAAATTCTATTTTATGCTTAAATATTTATTTCAAAGGATTGCTCTAGCAAATTGTTTCCGTACCTGATGTATCTTATTGTTGTTGGATTTGCTATTGCACACGTTTTGATCCACCGTATAAGTTGCTGACGGCATGATGAGGACATAAATACATTTACACGGTACCTGCTGTAACTGATGAAAATCCTACGTCTATTCAAGAAACGACTTGTTAAATAATCAATGACATGAATACAGAACACAACAAACACGTGACGGCAGTAAACATTTTTGTCTTAAACAACAGTCGTGGTGGTTGGTGTGTGTGTGATGCGTATACGTGAATGTATTAAGACGCTCGTCTTGGTAAATCGTAGAGAAGTGCTGAGGACATAATATAAAAATAGTGAATATCTAATCTATTCGGTTGTCTGGGAGAGGGAAATAAAGTATCGCAAATACATTGTCGAGTACTTTAATAAAAAAAAAGTAACTCACGAGGGCATAGATCAATAAAATCGTATGCTATAATAATATTACTATACCTGATACATTGGTATGTTTTTTGTGCATTATGCAATTATTTATTAAAACCCAGTGGCGTAATTTCAGTTTAAAATAGAGGGAAGGGGGCAAAAGTTTTGACCAGCCAATGTATAGATAACCGAAAGAAAAAAACCGATCGTTTAGCTCGCAATCTAATTTCCAATCGCTTTTTTTATCCCAATACTCATCTTACATAATTGCATATGTATTATCATATGGGTGCAAAAATAGCTTAATCTTATTGCTAAACACTCGTAAACATGAGAAATTAATAAAGTGGACACTGGACACACTCTCACACACACACACACACACACACACACACACACACACACACACACCACTTCCATTTAATTGTGGTTGTGGCAATTATTTCCTAGATCTACAAAGTATTAAATTTCCTAAAAATATAAAAATAATTTTAGATTCTGAGCGAAGCGATGAATGTATTGATTTTACAATGTGTGTTTTTATTTATTTTTTTATTTCTGTGTCTTTAATCACGGTTTAAGGCAGTAAAAGTGCTTCGATTTTCTTCGACGGCAACTTTTCTGGAAAGTGACTCTGGCTAGTGCATTCGGGAGTTCAAAATTTGAAATTCACAATAGTTATTAAAAGCGAAAGGAAAAACAAACAAAAAATTAAGGATAAACGAGAATTTTTAAGCAAAACCAGTTTTTGAAAAAAATAAATGACCAGAATAGTTTTTAAAATAAAATAATTAATCATTCTATACCTAAATAATTAGTACCTTGCTATCGTTACAATAATGTAGTCGTGAGTGTTCGAGTTACATCCAGATTTTTTTTAAAAATTGAATATCATTTTTTTATATATTTTACATAACCTCCAATCTCAAATGTACACAGTGAGTAATGATTAGTAATTTATTTAAGTTTATATACGTTCGTCACACGTGAGTCATAAAATATTTAAGTTAATTATAATCATAATTATTTTACCTCATAAAATACCACTATATGTATGATGATAGTAATTAATTGTAGTTTTTTAGTTTTTGGACGGTTTTTTTTCTTAACATACCAATGCTTAAAATTTGTTTTAATTTATTCATAATTTTAACATAGTATGTTCACGGTGACTTCAGATACGCGGAAGCTGCTTGTAATATCAGTATGCGCCCCTATAACTACTTTTCCAAATTCACTCAAAAGTTTTTCCCCGTTTTACTGCGTTTCAATGTTTTAAGGTATGTTACAAATTATTATGGTCGTATAACCAACCTTTGGATCACATGGTAGGTATATCAAATATTATGCATACGTTCACATTCACATATGCTTTTAATTTTTTAATTTTCTTCGGTAGGAATTATATTCTCATTTTAATATTGTTTTACTCTTTAGTATGTACTATTGTCTTTTACACCTCTATAGTATATTGGGTTTCACTTATTGTTATATAATGATATAAAATACAATTTGTAAAGCCAGACAGAATATAGAAATCAATGGTTTCAATCATACGACTCTCAATCATTCATTGATCTCTGACTCTCTGAGCGGGACAGTATAATGTAGAATAAACTGTAATCCAAATTTTGATTAAAACAAAGTAATTTTGACTTCATTTAAGATATGCCTTCAAGATATTTCTTCAAAAAAGTTGTATTATATATATATTAATATTTTATATTATATGATTTCTAGTTCATCTCAAACCGAGGGGACTTAGTCAGGGGGTCCCGCTCTCACATTGATTTTAAAATGTTAGCTCCCTTCAGAAATTTAAATGTATTTCCGTCTATGGGCCTCTTGTTATTTTTCTTAGTAACTAACGATATAATAACTATGGTTTCTTTTTTAATATAGTTCATTCGTGTAATAACGATCGCACTACGTCTTACATAGGCTACCAAAGGTACATCGCTGTCGTCTATGCAATTTCCTGATAAATAGTATTATGAATTATTACATTTTTAGCTTCTGAGCGGAGTAATGAATGTATTGATATTGATTCTACAATTATGTGGGTTTTTTGTGTATGTTAAATAAACAATTAATAATACAAAAATATTTAATTATATAATTATAATAACTCAAAACATAATATGTCAAAAAACCACATTATTGAGTAATCAATAATAAATTCACATTTTAGTATTATATTGATCTCTGCTTGATAATAATTATAATAGTTATTATAATAGTTATGTTTATAAAAATAATAAAATCAAAATATTTATAAATCATAATAGTCAATAATAATAGTATATAAATCTGATAATAACGTTAGAATATTCATATTTTCTGGTTACTGCCTATCGTGTAGTTAAAATGTATAATAATAAATTAAATTGATTTGCATTAGTATCTATTAGATATATGTTAAATGTATTAATAGAGATTTAGTATTCTTACGATTCAAATATTGGTTGAAAGCTTGATTATTAGATCCATAACTAATTTATTAATCGATAACATTGTCGATAAAAATGAGCTCACGTCTGATATCAAAATAATTGGCGTATTAATACTTGAAAATAATAAATTACAAAATTTGGCAACGTGAATGTGGCAACATCGCATACAATATTCTATGCTCAATCGTGCTTTACCAATTTTTACTTTTAAAATGTAGCACCAACTAGGCACAATATCCTTTTAGAAATCTCTCTTGAAGTTAAAGATCTAACCATTTTTTTCTACTACAAAACACAAAACGTGTATAAGCATACATACATCATTTTAAAATTATTCATTCATCATCGATTATCTCAGAATCTAAAATTATATGTAATTACAATTTTTTTTAAATAAATAACAGCATGTTTTTGACTCATTCACAAAATTCGCATTTACTATTTCACTGGAGTAAGCATTTTAAATATACAAAAAACAATTGCTTGAAAACGGTGTAATTAAAATGAACTCTAAGTCTCTAATTATAAGAACTTACAGTACTTACCTATGTCATGACTCCCGCGAAGGTACATTTTTTATGTTAAATGCATCATTGTATTTGTCTCTAAACTCTAATTGGTCATATTTGTATTTTTATTCATTTTATTTTTAATGAGTTATAAATTAAATTATGAAATGTATTGTCAACCAAAAATGTATAGAAATACAGTTAATTCACCAATATAGATACAGTATTATTTGTATTATGTACATACAGTAAATATATGTACGACGTGCATAAATAATATGCAAACATTGTTTAATAACTACAGTACTAAAAAATATTACACATAAACCTGCCTAAGTATACATCATATTATATACTAATTATATTATGTGTGGTAATTTTTGATTTATGTACGAAGTCGACATTATCTACCGGCGATAGCCGATAGGTTTATATTAAAATGAATATTTTTAAATTTTTAAAACTATACTATACATAAATACATTTTAGATTTTGAGCAGAGCTAGTGGTTTTACAATGATTGTGTTTTTTTCTCTAAACAACTTCTCGACTAGATGATTTGATCTAATCAATACGTTTTCCAGTGGCGGATTCAGCGGTTATATTCAGCGTTACGTATCGTTACAACGATAGGTAATGACGTACCCACTACCTAGAAGAATGGTCATATTAAAAAGTATGTTATTAAGTATAAATAGTATCTGTTGGATACATTTTAATTAACCCCTCCCCCCTCCCTATTGATAAATTTCTGGATCCGCCTCTGAATTTTCTACTCATTTTTCAGTAAACAATTTGAACAAATTGGTACGTTTGGAAGGAAAATTTTTGAATTTTGAAAATTATTGTATGTATGTATGTATGTATTATTCATGTGTAATAAAAAAGGAATGAAAAATGAAATGGTAAAAACACGATTTTGTTCGATTTGAGTTTCATTATACTTTCTTCGTAATTTTGATGGAGTAAATTGAACAAAATGATGTATAAAATATTATATTAATTTATATTGTGATTGTAAGGTAGATAAAATTTGATTTTTAAAAAATGACTGTAATAAGCTGTTAAATAATATTTCTCGATTCTGAGGTTTCTAGTTAGGTTAAAATAATCATATAGGTTTTAATTAAAATATTCAATCCTTAAAATAAATGGAGTCATACGGTATAAAATTCGTGTAAAATTAAATGTAAATCAAACAAATGTATATAAATCCTAAGACGCAGAGTGATGCTATTCAATGATAATAATAAACTTGGTCGAATGAGATGACTTATATATAGTCAGTGAGTGACACTCGCCGACAGTATTGTTTGTACAGCGTCGTCATTTGCCCTATTGTATGCCTTACCTACCCCGTCACATCAGTGCTTTCGGGAGCTTACTTCATTTTCTACTTGTTCCTTTGCGAAATTTCATTTTATCCGTACAACCACTGCAGGCAGTTCAACCAGCCAGTTAATCTTTTTAATTATTCTAAAATGAAACGCTTCGCTTTGCTCCCAAAATCTGAAATTCGTAGAAGTCGGTATGTTATTTACTAATTAAGTTGCGACATTTATTACATAATATTATATAAGTTTATGCTAGCTTGTTCTCTACTTATAACCTAATATGTATAAACTATGAGGTAAACTATAATATATTATGTAGAATTGTAGATACTATAAAAATAATAACTCTCTTTGCTGTAACTCTGGTATGGTGGGTGTCACTGTCGAATGCAGGTACCTCGTCATTCAGTAGGCCACTGAAATATATATAATAAATTTGAATTCAATGATAAATCATTGCATACGAAAAGCGATTCTGAGAGAAGAAAATCTGTCAGCCTATACCTATATTACTGAGTATTATAGGTAGGTACGTATATTTTATTATATACTTTAATATTGCTATTAATTAATAATTATTATAATAGTATTTTTTTTTTTTACTATTATAGTTACAAGGGCACGAGGGTAGGTTTATTAAATTTTTGCTGAATACTACACATTTATTCTATCATTAATTAGGTAGTATTGTAATATTGTATATACAATAATATATATTAAATATTATTATAATCAGTTATTGTTACAATGTTACTTTTTTAGTCAATACCTATATTACTGAGTATTATATAGGTAGGTACGTATATTTTATTTTATTTTTTTATTTTTTTATTTTTTTTTAATTGATCCTGAGCCCGGCAACTGTGGCCATTAGCTATTAGTAGGTACTGTAGGTTTTTGTATTGATGGTTTGTAGGTTTTTGGAACGGTAGGGGGAACACGTGTGTGTTTGTTTTGGCAGAATTTCGAATGGGGCACCCGTAGGTTTCTGCCATGCCCCGGGGGTGGGGGATGGCAGCACTTGCTCTCCGGTCACCGCGACTTGTCCGGAGAAAAATGCC